AGAGTTGTGGTGAAAGTGAGTGTTGGGGGCAATAGAGGGAGAGTCGTGTTATATATGGTTTCTAAGGCCTAATGTGTGAGCCTTTCATTGAATTACACGTCGACTTAAGGCACAGTGAGTGCTGTGTGAGGACTGGGAGGTAGTGATAGCCAGCGGTTCATAGCAATAGGACTGCAATAAAAGCGCATAAAAGCCGGCGAAACACCACTTCTCCTCTCTTTCTCGTCATTTAAACTAAATTTAATTTTTACTCTCATTTTGTTTCTTATTATTTATTATTCAAATTAATAGTTAATATAAAAGTTGTATTTATTTCTAATTATATCGCAATTGAATTGATAACAAAAAACTAATTTATAAGTCATTTTGAAAACACGCTTTCCGTTTGTGATAACAAAGCAATCGTTTCCTTCATAACCCAAAAGACATTTAACTCCCGAAGAAGACATGTATTCAACGAAAGGTTTATTAGTATTATTGGTGTCAGTCGTGGGCATCGCGACGGCGTCGGACGTGTTGGACCTGAGCTCCGGTGACTTCAAGGCGACCGTCGGACAGCACGACACCATTTTGGTGGAGTTCTTCGCCCCCTGGTGTGGACATTGCAAACGACTGGCCCCCGAGTACGAGACGGCCGCCACCAGTCTCAAGAACAACGACCCGCCCGTCCCTCTCGCGAAGGTAAGCCTACCATACCGTACACGCCCTTTGTCTCTATCCTCTCACCCCTCTCTGTCCTCTTCGCACCCATGCCTCTACCAGCCCTCACCCAAAACCGCATGGCTTTCCCATTGCTAACCTAATGCTATGATTGTCTCAATTGTCAGGTCGACTGTACCACCGATGCCGGCAAAGACATCTGTTCGGAGTATGGAGTCACTGGCTATCCCACGCTTAAGATCTTTAAAGGTATGCCATTTAATTGTTCAATCATTTAGTTTTTTAAAGCAATTTATGCTAATTTTATGTGAAATACTGTTTGTATTGAGTTTGGGTTTTATTAGCTATCAATTAGTTTATATTGAGTTTTTTCCCTATTTATCACGTTTACATTAAATTGTTTACCAGTTTTCAGGTTTTTAGTCTGTTTTTCAATGGCATTGAGATGTGTCTCCGTTGGAGATAAAACTAATGCATTATCTGTTTCTATGAGACGTGTATTTCAAGTGTAGACCAAATGTTTCTACAATTGTTGAAAATTTTTCTTTTTTATTGCCAACTGTTTTATCTTTGATAGGAATTATGATAACAAGAGTTCAATAGTTTCTAAAACTAAACATTTTGCACTCTATTAGCCCTTATTTAGAGGATTCACAATAGTTTAGCTTAAAATCCAGCACCGATTGGGTCAATATGTGTGCAATGCTTTGGATTATCAAAGCATTTGTTTGCCCGATAAGCCATTGATTAAACACATACTTTGAAACATATTGAACACATGGGCCTCCAGGGTCAACAGGTGCACAGTATTTCCCAACACTGAATATATACCAGTCATTAAATGATGAAAACAACTCCCAGTCTATGTCTGAATATTAATTGACGACCACCTGTACCGCTCCAGACTGATAATGACTGACCCTTTAGCTGCCAATTAGTTTGCTTTTTAGTTTGACTCGTTTTTAATGCAATGTTTTTATATCCATTTGTGTGAATGGCTAAAAAGGCGGCGACTTTGCGTCCGAATACGGCGGACCCCGAGAGGCCGATGGTATCGTCAAGTACATGCGATCACAGGTGGGACCCGCTTCCAGACTCGTCGAAAGTCGCGCCAAATTAGAAGAGGCATTGAGTAAAGCGAAGGAAGTGATCGTTTTGGGAGTGTTTGAAAAGGACGACAAGTCTGCAGTTCAGACCAAATTCCAAAAGACTGCCGACAAACTGCGAGAAACGGTTAACTTTGTGCACGTCTTCACCGATTCCGTGGCCGACGTGTTTGATCTGAAGGTTTTCGCCGACCTGAAGGCCAAGAAGGCGCCGACCATTCTTGTCGTCCGACCCAAAGAGCTTAAGAATAAGTTCGAGTCAAATGTGGTTCAGTATACCGATGGCGATGTCGAGGAGTTCATAAAAACTAATTTCCACGGAATCGTTGGCGTCAGGACTCAGAACAACAACCAGGACTTTAAGGTAATGTTGGACTGGAGTAGTGATTGTGTGATTGCATTGACAACCGGGTCTTCGCCACACTAATAGCGGTGAATCATTACCACATTAGTGCCAGAAATCTATGATTTAAAGACCAATATTAATATATCGCTATAGGAAGCAGTCGAGCACTCATTCATTGCTGAGAACTGTGCCGTAAATTAGCGATACATTTGCTATTGAATTAAATTATTTATAAATAGTTTTGATTTGAATGGATATTAACACTGTTTGTGTTTGAATTGAATTGCAGAACCCATTGGTCGTTGTATACTATGATGTCGATTACGTGAAGAACGTTAAGGGAACCAATTATTGGCGAAACCGAGTCCTGAAAGTGGCCCAGAATTACAAGGACTTGCAGTTCGCTGTATCTAACGCTCAAAACTTTGCGGGAGAACTGGAAGAGTTCGGTCTCGAGATCCCTAAGGATCGCGACGCGACCCCTGTTGTCGGTGCCAAAGACGCTCAGGGATTGAAGTATGCGTTCAAAGAGAAGTTCTCTGTCGAGACCTTCGAGCAGTTCGTCAAAGACTTGAAGAATGGAAAGCTTGAGGCCTTCGTTAAGTCCGAAGAGGCGCCCACTGATAACGACAGCGCAGACGTGAAGGTGGCTGTCGGCAAGAACTTTGATGAGTTGGTCACCAAAGCAGATAAGGACACTCTGATCGAGTTCTACGCGCCCTGGTGTGGACACTGCAAGAAGTTGGCGCCCACTTTCGAGGAATTGGGTACGTGTGCAGTCTTATATGGCTTTCATTATCCTTTGTAGCCTTTTATCAAATGATGAGTTTATTCAAGACGGGTCTGACCTTTGCTGACGACCCACTGCCCCAGTCTGACCATTCAGTTAACAATCACTCTTTGATTGGCTTCCCATTTGACTGTTTAATAATTGTTGTTTGCATTGCAGGCAAAGCCCTGAAGGATGAGCCGAGTGTGCAAATAGTGAAGATGGACGCCACAGCCAACGACGTGCCCCCGACTTTNAATTAATTGATTAATTAAAAGTTTAATCAATTAATTGATTATACAGTATATTGTATCTTGGTCTCAAATATGTCACAATCAAATGAATTAATTTATTAAGAAAATAAAGTTACAATCATTTCTAAACAAGTATTCAAGGCTCTAAATAAGTCATTAATTGTCATCAAACAGTGATTTTGAGATTAAAGATTAATTAAATAATATTTTTAATAGGATTAATAATTGGGTGATTGTATGCACTTTGTGACCTATAGTAAGAAATTACAGTCATTTTGATAATAGGTTTCAATAAAATTCAATATTATTGTGATTCACGTGAAGAATGACTTTTATTCCTACATTCAAATCGATTGAAAACTGTTATATTCTTCGCTATAATTTGTAAGTCTATTCAGTTTTGTCACAAATATTATCACATCAATTGATCCCAAATATCGACAATAACCTCAATAGTAGTGATTGACAGCAATGAGCGATTCAGAGCTATCGCTAGACTCAGACAATGTCTCGCTTTCGGACTCAATTCAGTCCAACGGTTCAGTGGCCGGAGAGGACTCCAATTCGTGTGAAGTCATAGATATGTCGCGTTGGAGGGACCGGACGCTCACCAAACAGGTGGTCTGGAAAGGCAAGGGTTGGTCCACACCTATGAATGGCAATGAGGTGTCCATCCATTATGTGGCCAAACGAGAGGACGGCTCAGTGTTTGACTCAAGCCGTCAGCGGAACCAAGTCTTCACGTTCACTGTCGGCCGCAGACAAGTCATCAAAGGTGTTGATATCGCCATCAAAACCATGAAGTGGTCGGAGATCTCAAAGTTTACGTTTTCCGGCGAATACTCGTTCGACGAAACCAATTGTCCGAAAGGGTTGACTCCCGGCGCTGTCGTCTCCTACGAAGTGGAGCTCTTTTACTTCAAACTCATGGACTTAACGAAGAAGAAAGACGGCGGAGTCGTCAAGAGGATCATCACTCCAGGCACTGGCTATGAGTTGCCTATATTTGGATCCAAATGCGAGGTCCACGTCGTCGGCAAATATGAAGACAAAGTGTTTTACGAGAAGACCGTTATCTTCATCGTCGGTGAGGCTGAAGAGAAGGGACTCATCGGTGGCATTGATATAGCGGTCACTAAAATGAGAAAACTGGAGAAAAGCAAACTCTTTGTGAAACCGGAGTACGCTTTCGGACCAAAAGGCAAACCCGAGTTCGGTATTCCTGAAGACTACAAACAAGTTGTCTATGAAATCACACTAAAGGATTTCACCGAAGAGGTCGAGCCCTTCCAACTGATGGACAGACAGAAGTTGCAAACATCTGAGGCCATCAAATCCAAAGCAAACAATTACTTCAATGAAAGCAAGTATTCATTGGCTGTCAAGCAATACAAACGGATGGTTAAGATCTTAAGACACGACTCCAGATTTGAGCGCTTGAAAGCCAATTCCGGACAAGACATGACTGACAAGGAGTATAACCCCGAGAGAGACCGACTTCTGTACATCGCTTATCAGAATCTGTCGAATTGCTACCAAAAGATGAATGAATTGGTCGAAAGTCTCAGATGTATTAATCTGGCGCTTAAACTGGATCCGTTGAATCCAAAGGGTCTGTACAGGAGAGGCAGCGTCTACTACAGCCTCCAGGAGTACCTTTTGGCTAGAGATGACTTCCAGAAGTCACTAGAGTTTGGTCCCAACAACAAGTCGGCCCACAATTTCATTGTTGTCTGCAATAATGCCATCAAAACTAAGGCTCAAAACGAGAGCAAAATGTTTAAAAAATTATTTGGAGATTCAAATACAAAGCAAAGCCATGAACTCACAGATTCTGGTGATTCTCACGACTTGGAAGAATGTATGAAAAATGTCATTCTTGATGACATCGATCAGGAGGTCATGCCATCCACTTCCCAGTAATCTCATTGTCACTGATATTTAGTTTTCCTTTTATTTATATTTTATTTTACTTTTCATTAGTTACTAAATTCTCAATTCATTAAAACAAATAAAAGTTTAGTTTATTCACAGTTTGTCGTCAACTAATTTCAATGATTATGAAATACTTAGTGTTTGTCTTACATTCAGCACTTATTTTGATAAAAAATTCTTTAAAATTATACAAAACTAAACATATTTTTATGATTTAATTCTCAATTTAGCCTAAATTGTTCAGAATATTTACAAACATACATTTATTTTAAATAAGTTAAATATTGCACAAGTTTTTGGTAATAAAACAAAAATGTCATTTCTCGGTATTAATATTGTATTTGTATTCAAATATTTATTCACAATCACTACACTTTGGAGTTTTAATGGCCACGGGTTGTGAACACATTGAATCCAATGATTGCATGTCTTCACTAAGCAATCAATAAAATTCTAAGACTTCTATCAAATATTTTAATTCCAGAATAAACTTACTGTACCCTGATAATGTTGCTACGGTAATCAATTAGGGAATCATATGTTAATTATGTTAAAACATATGGTCCACTGCTGTTTACTAAATGAATTCATTGTAATTTAATACTTTTTAGAATAATTTAATAAGTTTGCAACAAATTTATATTAAAAATTAATTTATTTATTCCTATAAAACACAAGAAAATTCGTATTCCGGAAAAAACAAAATTAAGAAACATTTGTACCAAAAAAGACCAAATAATTTATTATCGGAAAAGACTTATAAAACAATTAAATGAAGAGTTTTAATGACAATAGAAACATAAAGTGAATCTTTAATTTATCCAAAAATATAAAAAACGTAACACTTTTTCATCTGATGTTAGGATTTAATATTATATATAAAATGCAGACAAAAGCTATTAATTAAATTAAAAACAATACAATCAGTCATTTGTTCTCTAGAGCTCATCCTTCGTCGAGTCCTTCTGATTGCCTGATCTGTCATAACCATTGAGTTCGTCGGTCGCGTGCTTTGATATGTAGCTCAAGAAATCGGAGACCTCTCGTCCGCCCTCGTATTTCTGCACCGATTTATTCTTGGGATACCAGTAGAGGGTCGGGAAGCCGTGCACAACAAAAGTCGGGGGCACGTCGTTGGCTGTGGCGTCCATCTTCACTATTTGCACACTCGGCTCATCCTTCAGGGCTTTGCCTGCAATGCAAACAACAATTATTAAACAGTCAAATGGGAAGCCAATCAAAG